TCTATTCTGTCTTGCATTAAGCACATTTATATTTTCTTCTATTATGAATATAAGTATTATAATCTTCTAGTTTTTCTTATTGAATCCTTTCTTTTTCTTTCTGTTTGATGATTTTATCATTAATTTTTATAAAGTTTTCTTGAACTTTCACTTTTAGTATAAGCTACTCACTTTGCTTTTTATATAATATGTACAAGAACTGGTCAATCAATTCTTCTTTCTCATATTCAAACTTATTATCTTTATTCTTAAGAATAGGATCTTTAAATTCTTTCTTGAGACTGATCAACTTCATAGTTAATTTCTGCTAAGTACAGGTGATTGAGATAGTTATAGACTCTCCTATTATTTCTAAGCTTAAGAGTTTTTCATCCCAATTCAAAATAGTTTTGAATTATTTTGCCCATTAGTTATCAAGCAATAGATCATATTCTGTTTTTTTCATGATCAGAGCATCTATCTGTTGGCTTAGATCTCTAATTCTTATTTTCAACTCTTTTACTTCATCTAGTAGTTATTTAGGCTTTTCATTTATACCTATAAGACTAATATTAGATAACTTATTAATCTGCCTATTTATTTATTTTAAGAATCTAGCTGATATAATATTACTGACTGATCTATTATTAATTATTATTCTGGTAGATTAATCTTTTACTCTTTTTTCATAATAAATCACATCTATTACTTTTTCATTCTTTTTTTCTAAATTTTTATTTTCCTTTATAGTTTCAGTTAATAACTGTTATAAAAATATTATTGAAGGTTTTTAAGATTGACTCATACTCTGATCTTCTTCAGATATGAATTCTAGTTTAAACATGAAGTATTACTATTATTAATAATAGTATTAGTAGGTGAAGATGTAGTAAATTAACTTAATAAGTTATATGAAAATTATTATATCATCTATCATAAATTAATCATTTTATTCTCCACACTAAACTTCAAAAAAGCTCTTTTAAACAAAATTAACATATCTAATTAATGAAAATATTATCAAAAATAATCAAATAAAATTATTCAAAAATTCAGATAATTATATTATAATTAATAATTCACAAACACATAAAAATTAACAAAACAAAATCTATATATATAAATAAATAATTTAATAATTATAACAAAATATAGATAAATTCTCTAGTAATATTAATAATATTTTCTTCAAGAATATTGAGAAAAAGCTAAACTACATTATTAATATTATCAATTCAACTAATTCTGATATAATAATATTAATCATATTAACAATATTAATGCTTCTCAAACAAGAATTTCTCAAAAAATAATAATAATAATAAAGATATATATGATGATATTATAAAATAAAATGAACAAGCAATAGCTTATTAGTCAAAATAACTACAAAACTAACATTATAACTTATAATTCTTAAAAAATAATACATACAGCTAGTGAACAGATTTGTCAAATAGAGTAATTATTCAATAATATATCACTCTCATAATTATACAAAAAATACTAATTTCAAATTCACATCAAAAATCTTCATTGATAATTTCAAACTCAACAAAAGTTTGTATTCATATAATAATCTTTATTCTTCATCTCTCAATATGATAATAGATATAATAAATATTAGAGAACTTCATAATCTAGGCAAAGCACAAAATATAATTACGCTTTTTTCAAATCTCAAAACAGATTTTTTAATTATCATAAAAATCAAACTCACAAATCAATAAGTTAAATTCATATTTTCATATTCCAGTAAATATATTCATCTATGAATAATCAATAAATCTCAATTACTTGACACAGGAATAAGTATACTAATTAATCCCTTCTGGACAAGACACATATAAAAAACTATCAAAATTTCAGAAAGATTATTACATATATTATTAGTCTTTATAGGTAATATCAAATTTGAAGTTATAGTAATATATCTATTAATATTTAATCTAAGAAAAGACCATTAAATCAAAAGAATAATAATACACTATATAAATAGAATCACATTATAAGTAAAACTCTTTATAATAGGAAGTGATCTAAATGAATACTTATTTAATCTTTCAAAAAATAGTTTATCATCATTACTCAAATTTAAAAATGTAATTAAAACAAATTAATATTTGTATTCAAATATCAACATATATACATGATCAAGAATAAATTCCAAAAAATACCTGAATATGATCTGATATAGTCATAGTCTAGAATTAACAATCAATTAATCAAATATTTCAGATCCATACTGGATTACAACTGATCATCTACTAACATAATTATCATTTAATCTTTTTTCTATACTTTACAAAACTTCTCTCTCAGTAATCAAAAGATGAAAAACAAAAAAACTAATATATATTACAAAAAATATCTCTCAAGAAGATTGGCTACTATTTGAAAAAGCTATCAATTTATATCCTAAAATTGATATAAACTATATAAATTATTCAATTTTAGAATTATGAAATTCAATCAAGTATATAATTATAGATGTCACTAACCAAGTCTTTAAAAAACTAATATTTCTCCATCAAATACAAAGGATAAAAAATATGAATTAAAAAAAAGCAGATTAATAAGAAGTATACTATTTCATCTCAACCAATATCAACACAATAATATAAAATCAATAGTAAATACACAAGCACAACTAGTAAAGTTATTCAAATAGTTACATAATCTTGAATCTTTAATATCAATCTTCTCACCTATAAATGTGAGCAACTAATACATATAATCTATCATATCACAGCTTAAAGAATTGAGAAAACAGATACATATAGCAAAGAATATAAAAAATAAAAAAGTGCAAGCTATACAAATAGAGCAAGTAATTAAACTCAATCAAGTCAATTTTTAATATAATTATGACAAAATACTGAATAATATCTTAAATAAAGAAGTATATCAATCTTAATCAATAAGGTATATCAAAATAAATACCTAATAGAACACCTAACTGAAGTTAAAAATATTAGTATGAGAATATTTTAATTAATAGCACAGAAAATGTAATATATAAAACTGGTCATCTTAACAATGGAAGGATATTTACAAATCAATAGAATCAATAAAAAGTTATATATTTAATTCAGTTATGAAATTCATTACAATTAAAAAACTTCAAGATCAAATAGTATTGACACATCCTAATAAAGCTGCAGGAATCAATCTTATTAAAAATATATTTTGACAATATTGTAGAAGCAAAGTTTACATAATACTTACTATACTTTTTAATAAATATCTAAAGAAACAAGATATATTTCATGAATAGAAACAGATCAGTATCATTCTTATTTCTAAACCAACAGACTGGGAGGAAAATCTAGATATAACAAGACTAATAGCTCTTCTAAATCAACAGACTGAAAGGAAAATCTAGATATAACAAGATCAATAGCTCTTCTTGACATAGCTCAAAAGTTATTTACAAGAATCATAACCAGTCATATCTCAAATATTTGTATCAAACATAATATTCTCAAAGATAATAACTTCTTAATATTAAAAAATACTGCTATTAACAGTTCACTACATATAATTAATAATATAATAGAGAATATACGTGAATACAAAAAAGAACTCTGATATATCTTCCAAGATATATATAGAATATATAACTCTATCAGTTTGCTAATTTTAAAACTTAGCTTAATGTAAATAAAAATAAATTCTAAATATATCAAGCTATTATAAAATATTCAAATAAATAGATTTAATCAAATACATACAGAATATAAAATTATAGAACTATATCTTGTGAAAGATGATCTTAATCAAAAAGAAGTATTCTCTTCAATCCTATGATGTATTTTCTATAATCCATTATTATGTATAATTAACTTTATCAAAAATACTTATGAATATAATATTAATAACTTAATCATTCACTTTTCATATTTCTAACCAGATTAAATTAATATTAATATAGCAAGCCTAGCATTTGTAGATGATATAGTCTGGATTTTTAATTCCAAAAAAATCATGACTGGCATTCTCAAGCTCACACAAGAATTTTATAATATGTGTGATATAGAAATTAATACTAATAAAACAGAAATAATCTCAATCAATTCATCAAAACTGAATAAAAATATCAAGCTATCCTTCTAGCAATTCAAATCAAAAATAAAAATCATCTTATCCAATAATTATATACAAGACTTCAGACAAATATTCTTATCAAAATCTGATAAATACAAGAAAGGATGAATATACTATAAATAATCATCAGTAGAAAATAGATCTAATAACTATATATACTTATTAACAAATCTAATAATAGTATATAGACAAATAGAAAAGAATATTACAAGAAATAAAATAGGTAGAATATTCATAAACTAAAGAAATAATCATATATTATGAAAGTAAAAAAAGAAAAGAAAATAATAACAGAATTCCAATCATATCATAAGAATTCAAAAACAGATGGAAATATATAAGAAATAATATCAATATACTCATCTACATAGAAAATAGCTTATTAACAAAGTATTATAAAGCAATCTGAAATGAACTATTCAAAATAATAAAGTATTTAAATTGTTATGCAATATTAGACATGGAATACTGATATACTACAGGTATATGTGATGTTTACTTTAATAAAGTCATCTATTCTGGAGAATTTCTTCATTAATCTGAAATCTTTATTATTTTGAATTGTTCACGTAATTTAATCATTTGAATATCCAATAAAAATTCATTTATTTTATTATTATATTATTTATTATGATATACACAGTACATAAATTTTTATGCAAAACTAATGTAATTGTAAATCTTTATTTGCCTTTTTTTCTGTATAATATTTCCAAGAATACTCTTGTGTAATTTGGTTAAGCTTTGCAATTCCATATTTAACTCCTCTTGTTGCATGTATAATAAAAAATTATCAATGTTATTAATTACTTCTGCTGACAATATCTTCCTCACTTTTCTAGTTCCTCCTCCTTCTCTTCTTCTTCTGAATGTTCTTGAATAGTTACTACAATTTCTCTCATTATGTATGAGTCTTATTCTTCAATATAATCAGTTACGTTATAAGTTTCTTCCTTCAAATCAATATATTCATGAACTACAATCATGGATTCTTCTAATAGTAGTTGTTCTACTAAATTAATTACTTCAGATTCGAGATTTTCTTCAGTTTTATTTGCCATTGAATATGGTGACTGCACTATCAGTGGCAAAATTCCAATTTTGTATCATGATAATTATATAATTCTTGATTTTACCCAATTCCATATCTCAGTTGCAAAGTTAATAATATTAAGAATTATTAGTAGAGGTAATTGTTGAAATGATATAGATATTTCTGTAATAAATTTTATATAAATATGTAATATATCATATTCTTTAATTCAATTCTCATATAGTAGCGATCTGTAATCCACCTATTAAAAAGAGATTAAGAACATGCTTAAAGAAAAGCAAGATAACAATGAGAATCAATTTACTTTTAAGCTATATATAATGTCTTGATCAAGTGATTATAAGACAAAAGTTGTATTTGAAGGTAAGAAATAAAGATTAATATTAGTCAATGTATTAATTACTTTTTTGGATTTATGTGATATTGCATTATTAACAAGTAATAAAATCTGACAATTAACATGTCTTATTATTGAATCTAAATAGTTGAGGTAATGTCTAAAGATTAATTGCACCATCCAAGTCTTGGCATTCCAGTAATATCAAATGGAAAGACTTGGCTTTGAAATTCCTTTAAGATAGTGAGGTGTTTAACTTTGATAGATAAATAATAATGATAGCTTGTGATCTCCAGTTACATTACATATGAGCATAATCAAAACATGATCTTTAAGTCATTTTGCTCTAGAGATTGGTACATGAGCTAGAATATGACTTGGTTTAGCTTTCCAAAAAATAATCATTTCATCATAGTTATATATATTACTTAGTTTATATCATGAAAGAATTTGTTAAAGATTAGCATACTATTGTGAAAGTTACGATTTGTCTATATTATCTAATTCACCTTTGCATTGATAAACTCATAAATTATTTCATTATTGAAATTTAGTGAGCCATTCATCTGAAGCTAAAAAGTTCTTAATTTTTATTAGCTCAACTAATTTCTTTACTTTAGTTTGTAAAACATGATCATTAAAAGTGATTCCATCTTGAATTACCTGCTCCATCCATAAAGATATAGCTTTTTCAATTTGTGAAAAATAACTCTTGCATTTTCATTTTGAATTCTTTTTTTGAAGTGAGTCATCCTTAAATATCAACCATCTGTCTTTTGCTTTCAAAATTTTATTAACAGTAGATTCTTCAATATCATACTCATTCACTATTTCAATATGTTTTAAATGTGGATTATTCTCTTTCTTCTAACATAATTTCTTTTTTTGGGCAAGTGTAAGTATTGTTCGTGATCTTTTTGACATGAATGCTTTGTCTTTAATATGATATTTTTTGAAAGATATAATGATAAAGAATAAGCATATAATAGAAGAAAAGGAAATAATATAACAAAATGCTTTTGAAAACTTAGATCTTTATTTATATTGTAGATGTTGATAGATAATTCTGATTAGTTAATTTCTATAATAAAGTTTATTATACATTAATAAAGTTCATTATATGTTAATGAACTTTATTATATATTAACATTATTATATCGCTAAAATAAATAAATTTTATTATGCATAATCTATTAAATTCTTCATTCATCATTATATAGTATTTTATATATAAATCTTTGTTAATCTGAAATTATTTTGTTAAAAGTGAACTGGTTTCAGAAAAATACTTCATTATAAGCTATCTTTATTAAAGTGAGAGTTTGTTAAAGTAAATATCACATGTAATATATAAAAAAAATAATATATAAAGAGATAAAATATGACTATATCATCTTAATGATATACCAAAACAAGTAATATATGAAAATGGAAAAGATAAATATAATAAATAGATATAATATTAGAAATATCAAGAAGAGAACTCTGAAAATAAGAGATTACTAAACTTTGAAACTTGAAAAATATTACAAGAATAACTAGCCAAAATACAAGATGCATACTATTATTATAAAGATAAATCACAAATATATAAGAATTCATAAAAAAATGTGAAAAATATTAAAGATATATATTCATTGATCTTCTTAAAACAGAAATCAAAATATATATAATAAAAAGAAATGTAAAAATAGTAAAATTACCATAAGATATTAAAACTCTTAAAAAATAAGATAGTCTATTATAAAGAAAAATACTTGATGATAAAGAAAAAATTAAATATTATCAAAAAAAACTTAATAATACAGATAATAAAATTCTAATAGATATATAATTATCACAAATAACAGAATGGAAAAACAAATTAGAACAAGTCATTATTAACATAAACTTTTATAAAGAACTATATGACAGAGTAAAATACATTATTAAAAACTCAAAACAGAAGAAGAAATATATGTAAAAAAATAGAATAAGATAAACAGAAATAAATAGAACTAAAAGAAAGAAACAAACTCAAACAAGAAAACAAAGAATTATAATATCAACTAGAATAACAAAAATAATATCCACTATCACAACTAATATTATCACTATCAGTTATACTTAATTATTTCTCAGATAAAGAATATATTAAAAGACTATTCAACAAATAAAAGAATGACTAAATAATAACAACATACAAGAAATAATAAAAGAACAAGAATCCAAACAAGATAATACAAAAGAATGAATAATCAGAAAAGAAAAATGAATGAAGAAACTAATAAAAGACTTAAATAAATAATAATAGAAAGAATTACTTTAATAACTACTAATTCCAGAAAAAATATGAAAACTACTAGAATAAAATTAAGAAAATTTTGGATAACACATAAGTAAAATTGGAGTAATAAGAGTAAACTTTCCTATAAAAATAATAGAAGAAAAATAATTTCACTTCACATAACTATACAACTTGAATAAGTAAGTAACAGACAAAATAAAGAAATAAATACAAAAGCTTCTAGAACAAGAACTAATTGAATAAACTATCAAAATTAGCATAGCAAGCTGCATTATATAGTTATAAAGAAAAAAGAAGATCTAATCACAAAAAAATTGGACTGGAGAATATGTCAAGATTGGAAAGAACTTAATGAAAGAATAGTCAGTATATAATTAATATATATTTCCTAACATAAGAAAAATACTTGAAAAAATTAAATAATATAAATACTTTACAATACTAGATATATTTTTAGGATACTATCATATTGAAATAAAAGAAGAAAACAGAGACTACTTCACATATGCTATAGAAAAAATGGGCTAATTCAGATTAATACAAATATTTTTCAGAGCAAAAAACATCTTTGCATTCTTTCAGAAAATAATGAAAGAAATATTAAAATCAGTAATATTCAAAAATTAGATACATATATACATCAATGACATAATTATTAGAGCAAATAATAAAGAAAAAATGATCACAAGACTAAATACTGTGCTCAATTTACTCAAATAAAATAATATTAAAATTATCTAAATATTAATTCATATAAAAAAAAATAGAAATAATAGAATGGCTAATATCACAAAATAAACAAAAAATCATATCAAATAATTAAAGAATAGAAATAGCCAGAAGTATTACTATCATTTCTTGAAATAATTAACTATTTAATAACATATACATAATGAAAGTCAATATAATAGACTATCGATATAATAGATTTTGCCTTATATGGACTTTTTTGCTGAAATGAAATTTTTACTAAGTATTATAATGAACTTTTATATTAAATAGTGATATAATGGATCTGGACTAATTTGCCTGAACATATTTAATTTAGCTTAGCTCGATATAACAGATTTTATATAACTAAGTCCATTATATCCATACTGAAGTCTGCTATATTATAGCAAAGTCTGTTATATACAATTATGTATAATAATAATAAGATTCATTCATCATTTTTCATTATATCAACATAATGTCGACTTATGGTTCTATCAATTTAAATAATAAATGAAAAAATGCTTCTCAGCAAAATGATGTAAATAAATAAACTTGCATTATCTTAATAGCATTACAGAAAAAAAAACTATGTGAATGTATAAGAGCTAATCCTGCTCTCAAGCAAAAAGATATGGTAAAGGAGTATAAAATATCAAAATAGATAGTCTCAGATATTTTGAAACAAGAAAAAACATGGTTAACAATAGAGACAGAAACTCCAAGCGCTAAACAAATGCATAATAGAAAACTTACATTTATTAAAGTTGATAATGCTATGAAACTCTGAGTAGATATTATATTAATTCGAGGTGATATTGACCTGAATGATAGTATTATAATGGAATATGCTTTGATATTTGCAAAAGAATTCAGATTTGAAAGTAAATTTCTTGCTTTATCTGGATGATTAAAGAATTTCAAAAAGAGAAATAACTTATGATCATATAAAAAGCATAATGAAATTGGAAGCATTAATATGGAAAATATTCCATAATTCTGAGCTGACTTGCAGAATATTCTCAAAGAATATGATCATCAAGACATATTCAACTGTGATAAAACTGCTTTATACTGACAACTAGAATCAGATAGGTCAATTGCACATATATCTTTACTAGGCAAAAAGAAATCAAAAGAATGAATTATATTGTTATTAACTTGTAATGCCTCTGGTGATAAAAAATTACCAATATTTCTTATACACAAGTATGAGATACCATGTGTATTGAAGGGTATAAGCAAAGATATATTATCAGTTTGGTATTACTGAAATGCTAAAGCATGGATGCAAAGAAGCATTTTTTATTCTTATTTAGTATAGCTAAACTCTCAAATGAAACTTGCGAATAGAAAAATTCTCTTGCTTTTAGATAATGCTAGTTGTCATGAGATGTGAGATGCAGATAATCTATCTAATGTTTGATTTCATTTTCTTCCATCCAATACTACTACTGTTCTTCAGTCTTTGGATCAAGACATAATTTATAGTTTAAAGATATAGACACTATATTTTATATAAAGAAGTTTGTTCTATAAGATTCAATTTTACACTTAACTAACTTAATAATTATTCAAATATTAGATCATTATCAAAAAATTTTATGTCATAAAAAACTCTATGCATATGAAAGACTTCTAGAAGAGGATGGTGAACTTTCTAAAATCACTATATTTGATGCAATTAATTACATTAACAATGCTTGGTGTAATGTTACCCAAACAACAATTCAGCATAGTTGAAACCAAATGAAAAT